AAACAGTTAAGTAACAACAAGCCCACCACACAAAAAAGTGGCCGAGTAGTTAAAACAATAACCTGCTAATCTTTGTCATCCTTGTGGGCAGGAGCTGCGGATCCCCCCTAAAACTGTGGGGGCCACAGGCACCCAAACTATGGCCTCAGCCCCCATGCCCTCCCCTGAGCCCCCCACCCCACCTCACCTCACCTCACCTCACCTCACCTCACCAAGCTCTTGGCTGGTGTACGGTGGGCACTTAACTGGCAGAGCGACGTCTCTCAGGGTGTGAAAAATCCACCCCTCCAAACCAGTATAGTTAAGCTGACCTAAGCCCTGGTTAGATCGTGCTAAATAAAAGGGAGAATTGTTCTGTCAATGTAGCTATTACAGGGATGGGAAAACCCCTCCAGTCACTGTCTACTCCAAAGTGCTATAGCAGGGCCACGGCAGCGTTTTAAGCGTAAACAGCCTAAGAGTGAAACTAGATCTGGCTCTAGTTCGCACTGTGGACGCTCAGGCACTAAGGCTACAGTAATAACAGTCAACTGCCTCCATAGTTGACAGGATTTGAAGCTGTGCGGGGCGACCCCAATGGATTTTTAGTCCATCACCTCAACCACTCGGCCACAACTACTTAACATAGGTTGGGTCCTTTTCTGCGCTATGATTCAGTTCTCACAGATGTGTCACTTCAAATTCTTTGCTCAGACCAGCTTCCCCAGCACACTCACGGCTGCGCATCAGTGTAAGTGTGTCCTTGGTTGAACAGCGAGAATTCCTGCCCATTTCCCTTCCGGCTGGAGCAGGATGAGAGTGTGTTTGTGTTAACGACATTGCTGTAGATTGTTCTTCATTCCCCACTATGATAATTCAGACAGTTCCTTTCCCATTCAAATCTCCAGCACATCATTCCAATAGCAGGGGGCAGGATTTCTCTGGGGCACTGAAATATTTCAGGGGGTTGGTGCGTGAACTCAGCCTTGCATTCCATCCTTGATGTTTCATGGACTAACAACAGCAGCAGAAAGAAAGAGCCGAGCCAATATCTCCCTATCAGGGGTGCAGGTACCACGTCCCCTCTGTCTGACCATCGCCATTGTAGGAGAGAAGGGTTCACTGGAATCGAACGCCCTGGCTCAGACCAGAGACACAGGGAGGTTTTGCTGTTCATGGATCTGTGCAAAGGAAATTGTGTCTCTGCGTGAAATTGAGGCGGGAAATGAAACGTCCACGTGGTGGCCAAATGCCCTAAGAAATGTGGGTGAAGGACTCGGGCTGAGAAATGATATATAACAGGGGTGTGTATCAATTTATTGGCCTGATTAAAAATTATGGCTAAAAGGCAGCCATTGTTGTTAGTACTTGTACCTGTGTAGGGACACCCCAGTGGGTGCCAAGTCCATTGCCTTCACAAGGGGTAGTCGATAATTTTCTCAAGATCAAAATTTCTTGGCCAAGGTCTAGTCAAGGTCTAGACTCCAGAGAAAATAATACACTGATGATAAGAAGAAGTATATAAAAAGATTTTGCAATCACTATGGGCATAACTATGATGTGTCGTGTTTCACTCTTTATATCTGGCGCCACCACCTTTCCCTTTGGCCTTGTACTTGACCAAGGGTAAAACTAAACATCTCCTCAGATACCAGGGAGTGTTTGTGTTCATTCCTGCGAGCTACACAAGGGTTTGATGTTGCTGCTGTCAATCCTCTGGCTCTGCCAGGGTAAGGAACAATTTAGGCTGTCACTGAACTGAAGGAGGGAGATCATTTTTTGACAGGGAGAGGGACACCTCCTCTTAAAGGTGTTTGTCTGGCTGGCAGCCCTGGTTCCCAGGTCTGTCCTGAGGGAAGAAAGTTTCTATGCAAAATACCAAAACTTTTAAGGGAGAGGAGGGAAAGGCGATGGGCACAGGATGGGGCCAGCATGAACCACAACATGGTTCTTTTATGTGGGATGACTCTGAACATTGACTGATCTCCACTCCCTTGTGTTTGAAGAGATGTTTAGTTTTGCACTTGGGAAAGTACAAGGCTGAAGCAATTATATCAGGGGTCTCAAACTCCCAACCCACAGGACATCTGTGGCCCGCAAGCCTCCCCGATGTGGCCCGTGGGTCTCCATTAGTTTTGGGGTTGGGTCTCTCCCTTGGCCCCAGCTGCCTCCCCCAGGCGCTCCTCCCTGGGGCCCCAGCAGCGCAGCGGAGCTGAGCGGTGTCTGCCTGCTCACTCCAGTGACTGCTGGCCCCTTCCTGCAGCCCCGGGGCAGGGCAGGGTGGGGCGGGGCTGTGCCTCCGTGCGCTGCCCCTGCCCCGAGTGCACCTGTGTTCAGTGAGATGCTGCGGGGGTGGTGCCTGGGGGCAGCAGCGTGCAGAGGCCCCCTGGCTCACCCCGCCTTGGAGCCCCAGGTAAGCGCCACACCCCCAAACTCCTTCCAGAGCCTGCCCCCCCACCCCGTCCCCACACCCCCCCTCCCGCACCCAAACTCCCTCCCAGAGCCTGCACCCCCTCCCTCCACATCCCCCAGCCCCCAAACTCCCTCCCAGAGCCTGCACCCCCTCCACACCCCTCAGCCCCCAAACTCCCTCCCAGAGCCTGCACCCCCCTCCACACACCCCAGCCCCCAAACTCCCTCCCAGAGCCTGTACCCCCTCCCCACATACCCCCTCCTGCCCCCAAACACCCTCCCAGAGCCTGCACCCCACCTCCTCCTGTTCCACCTACCCCGTGCCTCAGCCCAGAGCATGCACCAAGCACCCAAACTCCATCCCAGAGCCTGCACCCTAGACCCCCTCCCCCAATCAAACTCCCTCCCAGAGCCTTAGGCAGGTGGGGGGCGGAGTTTTGGGGGGCGGGTTGTGGGCGGTATGAGTGACATTATTGGCCCACTGGGAGGATTGGAGGACTGGCACTGGCCCTAAGGTAAATTGAGGTTGAGACCCTGCTGTAAGGGATTGGAGCAATGCTGGAGAGGCTGACGGGCACGGAGCTGGGGAGCCGTGTGTGCTCCAAGGAGAGTTGTTGTGCTCTGGTGACACAGAGCGGGTGTGGGGATTTTGTAAGTTGTGGTGTTTGTATAGAGATAAAGTTTACTAACTCCCACGTTCAGCACTGTTCCTGCCCTGGGCTGTACAGGGCCTTCTTTGTTCAGAGTATAGCTCAGTGGGTGACTATTTGCCTGCAGAGCAATGGGTTCCTTATTCAAATCCAAGTGATTCCCTTTAAAAACTTTTTCGAATGAAAATCGATTTCCAGACCCATCTCCAGTGTGTTCAGGAGTTCGCTGAAGGGGGGCAGGGGTTGAAATGAATTTAAACACTCAGCATTTTCCTATGCAAATGTATAAAAACTGAGCAGAGCTGTCCAGCAGCTGAAATCAGTCCTCGGTGTCTCGAAGAGGGACACGCTGTATTTGAGGCGTCTGGGACACCTCTGTGATGATGACAGGTGAAAAAATGCTGGATTTAATGAAAGATGAGACCATAGGAGAGGAAGGTGAACGGCAGCGCCACACAAGGTCATAACACTCAGACACGGGGCTTCACTGTCACTACCCCTGTGTTTTCCCTCATTTCTATCCTAAGAAAGACACCCTCCCCCCCCCCCCTATCACACAGAACCTTTCCCCTTGAGCCCAATCCACCCCTCCCCCTCCCCCGCCCCTCTCCCACACACTGCACTGGATACAGCCTCTTGGTGACTCACCCAGATAGGGGCTTGTCTCTGCATCTCCCCAGCAGGGGAGCAGAGAGCCGAAAGGGCCACAGGAGACCAATGGAGCTCGGCAGGAATAGAAAAGACTTCCCTTCCCTTCTCTTCCCTTCTCAAGAGTCTCGTTAATCTCACCCATGAGACGTTCCAGCACCGGGTGGGCTCAAAGCACCAACCTTCCCCTCAGCAGCGGAAGGGGGGACCCAGCTCTATCACACGGAGGGAGGCTCCCCACCTCTGCTGCTGCCATCCTGCAGCCTTTAATATGGATTTGTTTTAGCTAATGCAACCCCCCACCTCCCTAATCCAGCCATGAAACAAGGAGACAAGTCTCTAAGTGTGGACTCCGGTGGTGCAATGGGTTAGCGCCCAGTACTTATAGACCAGTATTGTGTAGAGTGGGCACCTAGAGCAGAGGCAGCTGGTGCTGACAGCTCCAAGGGAAGGCTTAAAAGCCACAGAGCAATCGAGGAAGGGGCAAGAGGAGGGGAGGACCATGCTTATGTGTGGCCAGCAGACAGGCAACAAGACACCCGGTCAGCCTGCTCCCTGCCATGCCAAACACCCACTGCAGGCCACCTGCAGGCCAGCATGCGGAGCGGCTGCTGATGCTCTGTGGCCAACATCAGAAGCTGGTAGGAAAGCAGGGCCAACCCCACTGGTGGGGCCTCTGACTGTTCCCACTCAAGGTGCTCACTTTGGCAGTGGGGCAGGAGATTTTACCCCAAGAGGCTTTTCCCCAGCTGGCGAGAAGCAGAGAAACACCCAGGCTCCCAAGGCGCTATTTAGCAACCCCCTCAAGCACAGGGACAGGCGCACATTTGGAAGAGGGAAACTGCTCCACACGCTTGCCCGGGCAGCTGCCCATTTTCTTTGGCAAATCAGGAATGGCAAAGGCTAGACTGGAAGCACGTGGGGCTCATGCCCCAGCCTTTGTGACGCCCAACCCCCAACTCCCTCCCGGGCTGTAGCTGAAGCCAGAGCATTGGCTAGTCAGTGGGAGGCACGGGGGGGAGGGTCGGAGCTGGCTGCCAGTGGATGCTGGGCAACTATTTTTTTCCATTGGTGCTGCAGCCCCATAGCTCCCATGGAATCACTGACTTGGCTCCTTTGACATGCTAGAGAGAGGAGCAGCAGCCAGGGCTATGGGTGATCTATGGGGCGCTAGGTGAGTGGCAGAGGCTTCAGGCGCTGAGAGTTTGCCTGACACCTCAGGGACACAGTGTGAGGTGGTGTCCCAGGGATCTCTATGAAAGGAGCAGAACAGGATTTACTTGGGGTCAGGAGAGAATTGAGAGTGTCTCTGGGGGTTGTAGAGAGGTATTGCCTGGGTTAGAGACTGGCTAAAACACAGACCTCGCTGTGAGCAGGATTTGAACCTGCGCAGGGGAACCCTATTGGATTTCAACTCCAACGCCTTAACCACTCGGCCATCACAGCTGTGAGCACAACAGTGGCCCAATGCTAGAGAAACTAGTAAATAATCACAACGCCTAGGCTTGAAGTCATCTGAAATACAGAATTCACACAGCAAACCTGGCTCCCAAAGCACAGGGGGGATTTGGGTTTGTTCTCTTTGCTTAGCCATGTGCAGTTGCACAGAGAGCACTTTGAAAAGTCTCCCCTCCCACAGAGCGGGAATGGGAAA